TCTTCTTTTTCGATTTCACTTATTGAACGTGTAAATGCAACATCATCACAGAATTGACGTAGAAGAAATGGATCACATATGACCACAACAGACCATTTTTCTTCATTAACAACTGTATCTTTATTTATACCATTATTGTTATTAGATGTTGATGATTGAATATAAGCACTTTTAAATTTATCTTTTACATATGTGTAGACATTATGATTAATTAAAGATAGATTTGTTGATCGACCCATCGATGAATTACCTTCACTTTTATTAACACCAATCAATGAATCTAAATCATACACGATCATTGAACGACGATAAGCAGCACATTCATCAAGACGTTCTTTCAGAATTTCAAATTTTTCTTTTTCATCATAGGCACTTTCTGCCGATAGTAGATTGAGATCAATTAGTTGTAATAATTGAACATTACGTGATTTTCCATAGACAGTCAAACGTTCAAGTAATTCTTGTATATTCGTTTCTGAACCAGTTAAAAGTTCTTGACAGACTACTTTTTCACGTTCACCAGTAATTGGATGTATATTTATGGCTTCAACATCAATCCGTCGAACATCTAAATTAACAATAATTTTGCCAGTATATACAGAATTTTTTTTGTTTGGTAAATCATTAAATCTTGATATCGACTTCTGATTGTTTTCAAACGAATGATTATTATCAGCAGCACGCAATAGTAGAGTCGGTAATGTTTCCGAACCGATTACAATACGATATTGTCGAGCAGTAGTATCAGCTAATTGAAGCATAGTACGATAATCTAGTTGATATTGTGGATTGATGCGTTGCATATCGATACAATGAACTGTAATCAAACGACGAAGAGCTCTATTAAAAACAAAAACAAAATTGTCTATCGATCTTTGAGTAGTAGTCATGTAACAAAAAAAAATGATACTGATGCATTTTTCTACTGTTTCTTTTTATTCCTATACATACCGTTAGTCTATACTAAGTGTTGTCCAATTCGATCATTTTTCCAAATACGATTTATCATTCCTGCCTATAACTTCATCTTCTTTTCTTTTAATAAGCTTCAGAAAACGAAGAAAATCTTTTTATCGAACATTTGCACTATTAGAAGAATATTTTGTTATGCGTGAGAATCATTTAATTGACTAACCTAAGTGCAGCTCCACTGAAATTGGTTGTAGCCATAGTTAAACTTTCGAGTAAACTTGGTGAAATATGCCAAGATTTTATTCCACTAAGAATATTCTTTCTAGCATGAGATGAAGGTCGTCCAACGAAAAATTTGCCTGACATACGTCGTAGAAATGCTTCATCCATCATATGTAAACGATTTGTTGCACAGAATATCATCAAATTTGGTACATCTTTTATTCCATCAATTACCGATAAAAGTACACTTAATTTAGCAATATTTCCATCACTTGAATTATCTTTACGTTTTGGTGCAAGTGAATCGATTTCATCGATTGATACACAACACATAAGATAGGGTATTCGATGACAACGCATACAAATATCAGATATAATTCGTTCTGATTCACCTACAAGAGATCGATTGAGTTCACCGGCTGCTATGGGAGGTGCAACCATACATACACCCATACGTGTTGAGAGTTTACTCATAATATCTGACTTACCAGTACCTACAAATAAACTTTGTGTAAATGTTTATCATAAAACCATGAAGATTTTCTCAAAAATTGAGAACTTTTCGAATTGAACTTACCCGGTGGTCCATACATAATGAATCCTCTGTTTGGTTTGATTAAATCTCGATCAGTGTTCTTGCTACTTTTATCATCTTGTCTAATCAAACCTATTTCAATGTTTTCGATTAAATCTTCAGTAGCTTGTATTTGTGTTCGCAGTTCATTTCTTTCGTGTTCCAATTGTTCCATTCTTTTTCGATGTTCATCCAATAATTCGACTACTGAAAATCCTTCATACTTTTCTCCATTATGTTCTTCTGATATTTGTCTCTTCAAATGAATTTCTTTTCTTAGTTTTCTAATTGAATCATCATGTCGATAATATTCGTCTTCTTTTTCAGTAAGTTCATCAACTAAACGTTGTTGTTTCTCAAGTAATTGCTCACGTTCACGCAAACGATCTCGCGACAAATTTCGCCATTGTACATCATTAATAGTTAAATCGTGCTCAATCATAGTGAGTGGAAGAAAGAAGACTTTCATTTGATCAAAAAGACCATCGTCAGCAAAACCATCTCGACGCATTTCATCGAATGATAAATGAACACAACGAGCATCTAATTTAGCCGGTGTTGGAATTCCAACAGAAGCAAATTCATCAGCAAGTATATAATAGAAGTATAATTTTATTTGATGAATACAAGCAAGTAATTCCGATTCTGATTCTATACATTGGAAGAAATATGAGTAGGTTTGATTCTATTAGTTAGATATATTTATTGACTTTCGGAGTTAGATTTTGTTGTGAGAAGAGGAAATTAGGTTTTTTAATAAACAGCTGATACACAGCTGAAAAAATAATTTTCAAGTTTATAGGATGGTCTACTCAATTTTAGTCCTTCTCTTTACTTATTTTTGCATTAAACTCAGCTATAATTCCTCAATTTCAATGGTGACCCATAAATAAATTCATTTTGATAAGAAACTTCACTTACGAATTTTGCCAGATTTTTTACGCGAATTGTCTGATTTTGCTGGTGCACTGGATTTGGCATCGCTGGCCATTTGTTTTTCATGATCTATATAGGATTTAAGAATTTTTTTTCCATTAATAGATAATACTTTCAATTCATTCCATTCTGCATATTTTAAATTAGCCAAATGATCATATGTAAATATGTCATCAGCACGTAAAGCATCAAGCCATTTAGCAGCCATTCCATTGTTTTCTTTTTCACAAACATCTTCAACAAATCGTTCCAATGAGACCGTACTTGGTCGATCGATATTTCTTATTGTTTTTTCATTTTCGTAATCATCTCGTTTTTCTTTTCCTGCTAATTCGATTGTATAAAAAATTTGTGCATCTGCTGCTAATTTCCAACGACGTGGAAATTGTTTTTCATCTGGAATAAGATTCAATTCAAATAGGCCACGTAATTGATCGAAATACCAAGTATCAAATTCATCAACTAATGTTATTGACTCTACTAATGGAAGTTTACTGAGTGGTCGTCCAACATCGATCGAATCACCACGAGCAAGTAATTGAGAACGTATAAATACATCAAGTGTACAACCAGAATTTAGATATGCACGAACTAGATTATCAGAGGATAGTGCTTCGAATTTCTCTTGTGATCTATAATTAAATAATTTTTTTTAAGACAAATTTTCTTTCGTTCTACTATCTACCTTCGTTTTGATGTTATTTCAGTAAGTGGAGATAGTAAAAAGTTCTGAATGAATTCGATTACAACTGTATCATTTTGTTTAACAAGAATCTGACACATAATCTTTGTTAATGAGCCAGTAACAATAGGCAATGTTGAAGATTGAATTACAAATTTTGCATTCGGTTGAGTTGTTTTTCTAGCATTTCGTCTTTCGACTATTATAAAGTCAATGTATTTGCCTAGAATCGCTTCACATGCAACATCCAAACTACTACATGAAACACATAGATTTAAATGATCAAGATTGATAGGATCGTCAACGAGCATAAATTTTTCAGCAATCATTTTGAGTGGATCATTATGATTATCGGTTGTCGTTGTTGTAGCCTTAGGTAAAGTTTTAACCACTGCTACATAATCTGAACGAAGCTGTTCAAGACGTGTACGATCAATTGTTGTTATTGATTCAGATACATTAAGAAATGTAAATACAGACTGACGATTGAATGCCATACACAAAGTTTATTCTATCTGTAAATATAAAATAAGAAGATCATTTTTTGTGATAAGAAATATTTTCTCTACGTTCAGAGTTTTGAAATGAAAATGAACTATATTCATGTAGAGTAATTTTTAAACATATTTTTCTTTTACATAATCATTAAAGCAAAACATTTAATTTGAAATTCAATATTCTTCCTTTTTGAATGTCTTCATCTTTTATATTTTATTTAAATCTAATGCTAATTTTACTTTTTTTTAACTTTTAAAAAAAACACACAGATAAGAGTAAAAATTAAGCGAATAAATAAAATAAATCAAAAGAATTAAATATATATTAAAAAATAAATATAATTATGAAGATGTCATGTTTCAATGTACGAAGTTGTCTTTGTCAGACGTTTTGGTGTATGTTGTTTTTTTTATTTTCTATTATTTTAGATTTTCTTTTTCGTAAATTTTAAACATATGATAGTGGAACAGAAAGATAGTAATACTAGCAGGATAGGCCGCTTATTTTTCTTCCACAGCCCCACTAACATATGTTTAATATTTAAGAAAAAGAAAATATACAACAAAGCATCTAGCAAAGGCAATTTCATATGCCGAAACGTCACATCTTCATCATTATATTTAATTCTTTTGATTTATTTTAATGTTTTTTTTTTTTATTATAATAATTTTTACTTTTGCCTATGTGGTTTTTTAAAAGTTAAAAATAATAAAATTAGCATTAAATTTAAATTAAATATAAAAGATGAAGAATTGAATTTCAAATTAAACATTAAAATGACTTTTTCAATTACTCGTAATGAATTAAAGCAAAACATTACTCTTCCGTTATAAACAAAATCTTTCAAAATCCTATATCATTTTGAAATATTCTTACCACATGTATTCCAAGGATAGATTAAAATAGAAATGAAAAAAAGAACAGATAAATCACTATGTGAATATATTTGCGAACTATATATGTAGTGGAGTATGGAGATATTTTTCTTCTTCTTTCGTTTCAGTCGTTGACTATGATTCATAGGAGCAAACCAGAGCTTTGTTAAGAGTATTTTTTATCATGTCATTGACATGACGTCATGCAATACTCATCATATTGACTCAGTATTCTTATTCATCCGTTCTCGATGCTACTATAAAACTAAAAAATTGTGATAGTGAGGAACTTATTTTCACAATGGCAACTAATTATAATGCTGTAGATGAACAACGTATTTTGCAAGAAGCTAATATACGTCGATTGCGTGAACTTGAGTTAAGTCGATTGAGTGAAGCTGATGAACAAATTGCTCGACAAGAATTAGCTAAGTTCGACGAGATGCAACGCGAACTTGAAATATTCAATGAAGTTGATCAACAACGTATAATGGAACTTGAAACAGAAATACGTGATATAAATCAAGAAATATATAATGCTGAAAAAGAACTTGAACAACTTAATACACAACTTGAAGAACTTCGAATCGAACAAGAAACACAAGAAAAAAATCTTGAACAAGTTAATAATGAAGTTGCTAAACTAATACAAGAAATAAAACATGTTCAAAAAGAACTACAAAAACTTCGTGAACAAGAACATCAACTTATTGTTGAACGTGACAAATGGCAAGCAACACTTATGGAACAAGAACAAATTCTTAAAGAAGAACAAGCAAAAGTAAATGATCTTCGACAACAAATTATTGTATTAGAAAATGATAAACGTGTATTAGAACAACGACGTGATGAATTAAATATACAATTACAACAAGCTGAAACTGAACGAGTCACTTTAGAACAAGAAATTGTAAAACTTGATAATGAATGTGCACAATTAGAACAACAACTCAATACTTTACAGCAGGAATTAACACAACTTGAACAAATAGTAGAACAACTTGTCCAACAAATAAAACAAACTCAAGAACAGATAGCTAATTGTGAAAAAGAAATAAATGAACACAATGCTCGAATTCAAGAATTAGAAAATGAAAAACAAAAAGTCGAAGTTGAAATACAGCGATTACAAGAATCAATTCAACGTATTGAAACTATGATTCAAGATGTAAGTTTAACATACAATTGTATCAAATTAAATATTAGAGTTAGTTGCATTTGAATGCATATATCTTTTCAATTGTTCGATTGATAATTTCTATGGCACTGATCAGTATACTTGATTTAAGACAAAAACATTGATTGACAACAATGATTTTCAATGCCATTTTTTTGTCTCAAAAAACTATCAATTTCTCTTTTTTGATTTGAACACTAAGAATCATTTTTATTAATACTTAAGTCTATTTCTCATTGTTGGTGGACAAGTCAATAATTTGAAAATATTTTTCTCTTTATTTTCTTTTAATTTATCGTAAACATTTTGTCTATACTAATAATTTGACACCTAGGTAACAAATAAAGAGCGCGAAGTGACGGAACAAATCAATCAAAAAACTCAAGAAAAACAAATGATTGAAAATGAACAGAGAGCTACCGAAGCGGAAGTTCAACAGTTGAAAGCAGTTCTCGAATCACTTAATGAAGAATTGAAAATGTTACAAGAGAGATTGGCTCAATTGACAAATGAAGCCAATCAATTAGAAGAACAAGTTCGTCAAGCACAAAATGAACTTCAACAAGCAACGTATGTACTAAAATGTATACTTTGAATGAACTTCTTTATCAGAAAAGATGGACAGTTTTTAAATTGATAAACAATTCTATAGCAAAAATTCGGTTGGATCTAACCCAAAGAAGGTTCGATAAACAATACCCTAATAACGTGACACTTGTTGTTGAAGTTATAATGTCAATAAAAAAACTTGTATCATAGTTATTAAATATTATCTAAATAAAACAATTGTCTTATTGATTGTGTAGTAGAATAAGAGATTTCTCTCAAAGATGCATAAAAAATAGGTTCTCATGATGATTTTTTTTTAAAAAGACATGAAAGCTATTTTTTTATAAAATTTCTATATGAATTCATCTAGGGAAGCAGTAAAACTTGCTGAAGCAGAAACAGTACGCATTTAAGGAGAACTCGATCAACTTACGCAACAATTACAAGCTAAGCAAGCTGAATTGGCTCAAGGTGAACAAGAGAAAGCTCAACTAGAAGCAATACTTGCTCAAAAACAAACTGAACTTCAACAGATAACCGATACTGTGAATAGACTCGAGCAAGCATTGATGCAAGCCAAAAGTGAACTTGACACTGCTACTGAATTATATAATCAATATACTGAAACACTTCGGCAAGAGGAAGCAACTGAATTAGAAAAGAAAAATGAGGTTGAAAATCAAGAAACAGCTTTAAAAGAAGCTGAAATGAGGCCAGTGAATGTGATAGGAAAGAAAGCGAGAAAAAACGAGAATTAGACGAAGCGACGCGCGAAGAAAGAAAAGCACAAGCAGATTTAAATGCAGCTAAAAATCAATTGCAAGCTGCTGAAACAGCACTACATATTGCTGAAATGGCGCTGGCAACAGCATTGGCCTTTCCAATTATTGGTGAAATTGCAGCCATTGGAGCGACGGCTGCTGTTGCAGCAGCTACAGCTGCTACCATTGCTCTACATGTCAAAGTGAATAATGCAGAAACTAAATTGTCTCAATTGTCTATTAAGCGTGAACAAGCCTTTCAATTGCATCAGACAGCACTAGAACAAAAGCGAACAGCACATACGAAAGTTGCCGAAGAGAAGAGAGCTCTTCAGACGAAACAAAATGAATTGAAACGGCAAACTGAAACTAAAAATGCTGCTCAACAACAAGTCGAACGTCAGAAACAAGTTGTGAAGAAAGCGACTACTGATCATGCCGAAGTCGAACGTCAATTAGCTGAAGCTAAAGAACAACAAACAATGAAAATGAATGAAGTTCATGAAGCTGAAGCACAAGTTAAAAATCAGACAGAACATGTCGAACAGTTAAAACGAGAAGCAGCTGACTTAGAACGACGTCAAACACAAACACAACAAGCACTCGTCGCTGCAGAAAATGAATTGAGAAATGCTCAAATGAAGGAACAAACAGCCGATGCTAATCTGAAAATGATGAACGGACAGCTTACAGCTAAACAACAAGGTGTTCAAGAGCTACAATCCTCAGTTGCTCAAAAGCAACAACAGACTGAAGCAAAACAGGCTGAATATGCTGCTAAAGAAGGCGAAGCACAACAAGCTAAAAATAAAGTAACAATCATTGACCAAGATCTTAGATTAGCTAATCAGACGAAAGCAGAATTGGAAGTAGAAAAGAGAGGACAAGAAAATATACTTCGAACTGAACAAAGCAAAAGCCAACAACTCAATGTAGAGCATCAACAACTCAAAGCAAAAGTCGAAACAGTTCAACAACAAAAACAACAGTTCAGTCAACAGCTACAAGAGTTTAAAAGTCAATTGGATCGACAAAATGGAGATATGACTCAAAAGAGTAATGAAGTAGAGAAAGTCAAAGCTAATTTACACGCAAAGGAGCAGCAGAGGGATGAACTCAAGTCACAACGAGATGAGCATATTGCACATGTTGAACGAGTCAAAAGACAAATTCGAGAAAACGAACAAAATTTAAAAGAAAATGATATAAATTTGTCACAGACAGTATAAGCCCGACGAGAACGAGAAATTGCCAAACAGGTTATATATAGAGTTATTTTTTTTTTGAAATATTAACGAAAACATTATACTTATTTTTTAGTTAGCAGAACGTCAAGTAGCTGATAGTGAACAACGTCTTCACCAAACAGCTGAACGACTCGAACTATTATCCAATCAAGTTCAAGAGAAACAGCAAATTTATGATGAAAAAAATTGTCGCCACACAGACCTCGTCGCCAATGTAGAGCAATATAAAGCGGCTAAAGAACGTTTGGAAGATAATATTCAAGATACATATAATCGATGGACATCAAAACGAATCTGGGCAACAAGTGCAGCAACACATGTTGCTCAACTCGATCAAGAAAGAAACAACATTAAACTAGCCAGTCGACAAGCAGCTGAAACTAATAGAAAGCATCGAAATGAAGCAAACGAAAATAATCGAAATAGAAAAATTCAGCAACAATTTTATCGCCATTGATTATACATCTTTGATGAATTGTGATTTGCTGTTTCATAAATTCACATAGTCAATAAAATCTGTCCTTGTAAATGCATTAAGCCATAAAATAAAAAGACACACTACTTTTTAGGATGTGAGCGTGAGTGTGTCGGCTGGTGAATGTAGACGAGAGAAAGTGAGGATAAAAACTCACACCCACACCCTTCTACATACATCCGTATCCTGTCATTAGTACAATTACATGAACTTCAATTTTTAGTTGCTGATGATTTCCCATGTAATAATCTTATTACAAGAGAATTTCTTAGAGAGACTAACTGGATCTCCTTCATACTTGGAAGCCATCAAGATATAATGACCCGACACGACTTCAAACTTCTTTGTTATCGTTTTGAAAGCAGCCAATGGATCTAAATGGCCAATAACTTCAACTAATCGTTTATCTTGAGCTTTGATCAATGCCTTTTGCAATCCTAGGAGAACATGTGTATAATCATCTGGTGTCAATGTCTCCTTGGCACCATAAATCTGTACGACTACTGAAGAGTCACGATTACTCATGTTCTTCATAGTCACCCTACAACGAAAAGTGCGGGAGTCGAGGATCTCTGGACACACAAAATCTGTAAATTCATGTTGACCATATCCCAAACCAAAACCAAATGGATAAACGGAGTGTTCTTTTGACGATTAAATAGTAGATAGTCCCACCATCGATCATAAGTCACTTCACGAGCATCTGGATCCCATCTACGAAGATCTTTTTCCGATGCTGGTATAACGAATCCAGAGAGTATACTAGTAAATTTCTCTCGTAGTTCTTTGTCAAGGATGATAGCACTGTTGCAAAACAAGTATGAGAACACTTTTACTGTTCACGCGGGCAACCGCTTTTGCAAGGGCAGTATCATGTTCATTTAAGGCTAGGTTGCGACGATCTTCTCCAATTTTAATCTTCATTGCTTTTATCAACCAATTGAGTCCAGAGAGCAGTTTTCGTGTCGGTAAACTACCCGACTAACTTGGTAGAACTTTTTTGTTGACTCCTTCATCGGTACAAATGAAATATTCACCTTCATCACGTCCTGCGTAGCCAACTATAACTACTGTTACATTGGCTGCTTTGGCAGTCTCGATTGCAGTTTGAATATTTGAACCGTCGTTGTAGAGAGTTATGAATGAAGTATCTTGATAAACTGCACTTAGAGGTGATACTATATGAGAATCACAGTCCCATGATGAACCCCAATCACCAGTTTGTTGGGAATTAGCTAGCTTTCCAATAGCTACCACTTTTTGACATTTGCTCTATCAAGAGGCATCAGAGAAGGTTCTTCAAGTGAATGAGTATCATTCTTGAGGACAACTATTGATGCAGTTGCAACTTACCGTGCAAGATGTCTATGATCAATACAACCTACGACACTGATAGAAGGTGTTGGCTGATTTGCGGGTATGCGTGTGAGATGTGGGTGAGTGTCGATTCGTATCGATTCTTTTAACATTTGATTCCACCCACACCCCACACCTCACATCTACACACAGACTAGTTCACCATCTATCTTTTAAAACTTTCTTTCAAAAACATAAACCGTAATATAATTCAAGAAGGAGACTACATTCGCATCTGAAAAGCAGTAATCGTAGTCGTAGTGAAATATCGAGATATAAAAATGTATATTGCAAGGATTTGAGCTTACTTTTATTTTACAGTCATCGTAATTCATTAATTGATTGATGAGTACTATTCCGTGATAAAATTATCTCTGTTAAAAATGTATTTTTCGTTAATCTTTTAACATTGTTCAACCTATAACTTTATAATAATTCTAAGTTAAAAAATAAAATTTTCACTACCGATGCACTTTCATATAATCTATCAAATAATTCAATTTGCCACAACATGGTCACAGGAGCCGGTGCATATATCTTGTCGGTAAACTTCTTTTTGTGTTGGAGGTGGTATGGTGATATGAAATTATCAAACCAATCATCGAATACTTTTAGCCTTAGCAAAAACTCTATATTTTTAGAGTACGATCACTTTTATGTGATATATATATATACTCTATGTAACGTAATGTATCGTCTATCTCACAAGCACTTTTCTCATTAAAGTTGCCACACTCTCCCTCAGCTTTTATAGCTGGGTATGGGTGTTGGTCTGATTTTTATAACCCACACCAAACACCCAATAGATCTTACATAGTAGTATTTCATAATCGACTCTATAGCGTCAATGTCGATCAAGAAGATATCATTTCATAAAACACGAATACTGGTGTATGTTGAAGTATATAGCGAGAAAAATTGGAAATCTCGCTCATGTTCCTTTACAGACATGCAGACACTTTCAGAGAAATATCTTTGACAAACTCAACAGAACATTTGATATTCGTTAGCCTCTATATTTCAATAAACACATGACACTCGCATATCACATTTTAATTCGATAAGGGTGACTTTCGAAACTTTTTTTGTTGTAGCTGTAGCCTAACAAATATATGACCCATGAAAATGATATTTTTAGCAAGTCAACTATGTTAATCGATTTATATTTTAGCAAAAATTGTATCGATACCCATGTTGAAATCATTTTTGCGAATGTGAGTAATACATAAATATGTTTCAAAATCTATGAAAACACTACTCTATAAAGATTTTTAAAATTTTCTCAAACACTTATCCTCAAAGTTATATCAATCTTCACAAAAGAGATTCTTCAAAATTGTGAGAAATAAGCAGAAACATGGATTCACTTCTATTTCTATTTTACTCGAACTACATAGATCATGTTGACATGCTGTTCCTTCAGTTCTTCAGATAAACAGAAAGAAAAAAAAACAAAAAAAAAGCTTATGGTTGATGCGCAACCTATTCACACAAAAAAGAATACAACCCAAAGAAGAACATGTTATCATTTACAGTCGTCATCGTTGTTTTATTTCTAACAATTTTTTATTACTATGTGAAATATGTCTATTTCACATTACGTGGTCCAATACCTGGTATTCCACCCCAATTTCTTTTCGGTAATCTATTACAGACAGGTATAATTTGGGGAGATGAGTCTTTGGCTAATGTATTGCTCAAGCTTAAAATAAAATTTGGTGATGTCTTTCAATATTGGTTCACTTACACACGTGTCATTATTGTCAGTTCACTTGAAGATATCCAACATATATTTGCTCATCGGAATGTGTATGATCAAGGAGATATATTTATTGAAAAGCTTAGTATTGTCAATCCAAGTGAAGTTGCCGCCTTAAAAGGTTAGACAAATTTCAACTTAAAAAAGTTTAAAATAAAAATGATTTGATTTCTATAGGAGCTAAATACAAGCGTCACACAAGTGTTTCATATTCATTGTTTCGTGGAAGTAAAATATTTATGCATTTAGATACAATTATCGATTGTACAGATAAATTATTAGATCGATGGCGTCAAATCAATGATCCAACTAAAATTTATTTGAATATGAATGAACAAACACAACAACTTTTACTTGCTATTTTTGGTTTTATTGCATTTGACTATGATTTACAAATACTTGATAATGAATGTGAAAAAGGACAAAAAGAACTTGTCTCTTCAATGGAAACATTTTTCAATACAACAGTTAGAATTGTAGAAATGCCAGCAATCATCGGTCGTATCTATTTATTTTTAAATTTTAAATATCGACGAGCACGTTTAATTATTAATCAATATATACAGCGAATAATTGATCAAGAATTGAAAGAAACAGTTGCAATGAGAGCAGAACGTAAAAGAACAAGTTTAATTGCATCATTAATTTCTTCATTACAACAAGACGAAAATATTGAAGCAAAAAAACGGGAAGAAGACAAACGAGGTATCAACTATCACTAATTATTAAGTATAGAATTTTCGAAAAACTGAAAATATCTTTTATCGAGAGATATAACCTTTGAAAAAGTTCTATGAACTTACTCAAATCTTAGTTGAACTTGAGTAATATTCTTTTTTTATTGGATAATTTCCCAAAGTTATCATAACTATCGCAATCAGATCATAATCATTTGAAAGAGAGGACGTCATGGAAATCACACTTGAGAACTCAAAAAATTCAATGTTGAAAACTTCAACATTCGCGAACTATTCAAAAAACAAGATAATAGAACACATTCAATTTAAATATAGTATTTATATCATAGGTCTTTCACGACAAGAAATAACCGGTTTGATACTTTCATTGCTTACGGGTGGCTATACAACAATATCGACGGTACTTTCTTGGTTCATTCATCTGATGAGTAAATATCCTGAAGTACAAGCGAAAATCAAGAAAGAATTAGCTGAATACAATCATCGACGTCTTTCAATTGAACACATCGAATCACTCGTGTATTTAGATTGTGTTCTTCATGAAATTCTTCGCTTTGTACCAACATCGATCGGTTCTATTCGAACACTTATTGTCGATGATCGATTACCAAAGACTGGAGTTCAATTAAAAAAAGGTGATCAAATATTTATTTCATTCTATAATCTAGGACGAGATGCACGCTATTGGTCGAATCCTGATCAATTTTATCCAGAACGATTTCTGAATCAATCCGAAGAAATCGGTAATAATAACAAAGCAGCCTTACTTCCATTCGGTGGTGGTCATCGTCAATGTGCAGGTCAAGATTTGGCTCGATTTGAATTGAAAGTTATTTGTGCAAGACTTATGCAATATGTCACATTTGTCGATGGTGGACCTGAAGTCAATTCGGGAGGATATCAACAGAGAGATACTGTCCAACCGAAACATATTGGTGTTGCAATTAAATTCGACTAAAAGTGTTCATTGAACATGATCTTACGTAAAATTATCTTTTCAACAGAATTATGAATCTAATAAAGGGTAAAAGAAGAAAACTTTTTCTAGAGTTACTCAGCTGTTTGAAATAGATGACATCTAACTTTTTTAAACTATTCAACTATAGTAGATTGAATGTCATTTATATGAATGATGTGGATATATTGAAGGAAAAAAGATTTCGAAAATT